CTCTTCGGGTCGTCGCGGGGGGGGGAATTGGGATGTGTGTGTGTGTGTGCAGATATGTATGTGTATATATATATATATAAACATACACTAGAACCACGCGCGCGCGCTTCGCGCGCGCTTAGGTTCTAATCACGGCTGCGCCACGTTTTGCTGCTCTCGTTTTCGCTCGTGTGGTCATCGACGACGACGGCGACGACAGGGGCGACGACGAGTGACGACGAATGCGACGACGACGAGGACGACGACGATCACGACGACGACGACAAGCCCCGAGGTCCGGACAACTCCCATAGGCCCGGAATTTCGCCCTCAATGTTTGACGGTCCGGGGGCCCGTTGGGGGCGTCAGGATGCCGAGAGTTGTCCGGAAGCTTCGGGATCGTCAAGAGTACCTCAGGGCGTCTGGGGAGAGGGCTCTTGGGAGCCTCTATGGACTTCCTGGGGCCGTCTTCGATGCGGTCGACGCCGAAGCGGTGAACATCGTAAAAATGCACGTTTTCCGGAGGGAATGGGGCCATTGTTGCTTCTGGAGGCGCTCTTGGGAGTCCTTTCAGGGGACTCTTGGGCCGACGTGGGGGCTCCCGGAGGCCGTCTTGGAGCCATCTTTCACGCCTTTGAACGACGGTTCGGGGATTCTGGGCCGTTTTGGACGTTTGGAGACCTCCTGGGAACCTCGGGTGGCGCTTCGGGGCTGTCAGGGGCTGTCTCAGGGGGGCCCAGAGGCCCTGTCCTCCCATGCCGCCCCGTGGCCCCGGGCCCTGGGCGCCCGGGCCTCGTGCACGGATGTGTGAATATATATATATATATATATACATACATACATACATACATATATATATATATATATATGTATATATGTGTGTATATATACATATATACATGCATACATACATATATATATATATATGTATATATAGATATGTACGCATATATATATATATATATATATATATATATATATATGTAGCATACTCATATATGGACGACCTTAAAAAAAGAAAGAGAGTACTTGAGGGCGGGAAGAGTACCTGAGGGCGTCTGGTCAGGGGGCTGTTGGGGGCCTCTAAGGAGCTTCTTGAAGGTTTTTTGGGGGCTTCTTGGGGGCGTTTTGGGGGCCTCTTGGGGCCTCCTTGGGACCTCTGGGGGCGGAGGGCTCTCTGGGCCCCTGCTTGGGGCTGTCCTGGGTTCCTCTTGGGTCGTCTTGGGGACCTCTTGGGCTAGCTAGGGGCCCTTTTGGGCTGTCTTGCAACCCTCTTGGGCTGTCTTGGGGCGATCCTGGCGGCCTCTAGGGCCAAAGTGAAGAGGCGAATCCATGAAAAATGTACGTTTTCCGGATGGAACGGGGCCATTTTCGCCTCTTGGGGCCCTCTTGGGAGGACTCTTGGGGCTATCTTGGGCTGTCTCGGGGGCTCCCCGAAGCCCTCTTGGAGCCATCGTCAGCGTCTTCAAGCTACATTTCGAGCCTTGTGCGCCCTCTTGATCTGTTTGGCGGCCTCCGGCGCCCTCGGGAGCCGTCCCAGGGGCGCCCCAGGGGCCCCGGTACCCCCATGCGCCGTCGAGGTCGCGGTCCTGGGCCCCCGGTCCTCGTCCCCCGGGATAGAGAGAGAGAGAGAGAGAGAAAGATACACATTTACATTCAGGAAGACACCGAGAGAGAGAGAGAGAAAGAGCACCTCTTCAGGTCTCGTGAGAACAATCGACCACAAGGCCGAACTAAACTCGAGCAGTAGAGCAGTGCCTCAGAGCGCCGTCCCAACGAAGCCCGTCGAACGGCGGGGCGACCACGGGGGATGGGGGGGAGGAGGATGAAAGGGGGACCAGGGTGAGAGGGATGAGGAGACGGATGTTGCGGACGTGAGGGATAGGAGAGGAAGGGGGAGGAGAGGGCATGGGTGAAAAAAGGAAAAAGTGTGGGGGGGGACGGGTGGCTGCGAGGAGGGGGAGGGGGGCGCAAGTTTGATGCGCTCGTGCCAAAGCTGGCATCATGACCCTCTCTCCAATCCTTCTCCACATGGACTCGAGTCCCATCTGCTCGCTCGTGCCACTTTGTCTTGAAACGTGGCAAGCGCTAAGGCTGGAACACTATGCTGTTGCTAGTGTGAAACGACCAACGCGGCGAATACTATGCTTTTGCCATAATGAAACGACCATCGCGACGATGAGAGGGTCGTTCCGTGGGAAGGAGGCCCTATCGTTACCTCTACAGAAAGAAACGGTGCAACAGAGGCTACATGTTTTTGGATAGTATATGGCCAGCGCTGTAGCGAGAGCATCGATTCATTGTGCGGAAGCTCAATGGCAATTCAGAAAGATGTCAACCGCTCTTGCGGGAACACCATCTTTGCTGACGTGAAAATGCAGCTACCAAGCGCCGCGGCGAAGGGTCGTTCTGTTGGACTAAAGTCTTGTGAAAATCGTGAAATGCGGCTGGCGCCGAAACGACGTTTGAAGAACCGAGACACATCTGATTAGAACACCCGGTTATAGAACCATATACGGGACAGCTGGGGGAAAAACAAGGACAGCATCAGGGCAGAGAGGATAGAGACATCATGTCGAGTAAACGTGGGTAAGGGGGACCATGAGGTGATGAGGAGGAAGAGCGGGAGGAGCAGTGCGAGAGGAAGGAGGAGGGAGAGGACTCGTGACAAACTGATCCACCACCTCAAAGGCGCCGCCTTCTCGTCATCGTCTTGGCCGCCGCCGTCGCTGTCGCCGTCGTCGTCGTCGTCGTCGTCGTCGTAGGGAGAGGTGGACGGGGTCATGGGGAGGGAAAGGGCGAGGAAGAGAAGGAGGAGAGGGAGTTGGAGGGATTACTGGGAGGGGGACGAGGGGAAGGACATCGAAGAAATGGTCAGTCTGATGACTCCTCCTGGAGTTGATCCACCACCTCCCGAGCGTCGACTTCGCCGTCGCGGGGATGAGAGCAGGAATGCGATCAGGAGTGGGGAGGAAGAATAAGAAGGAGGAGCAGGAGGAGTGAGCGAGAGGGAACAAGAGAAAAGAGGAAGGTTCAAAGGTGCAAAATTACCTCCCCGAGGGACAATTTTTCGTCCCAGATCCGGTTCTGATGGTTCCGGGGCCGACTACCAGAACCTATGTGTCGAAATCGAGGAACATCGCCGACATTGATCCAACAATCTGCATCCATCTGGCACATTGATCGAGCACTCGCCTGGCGAAATACCTAACCATAGAATTGTCTTCGATAGAGCTCCCTCTGGCGCCACGAAGCGCACGAGGGGCCTGCCGAAAGGGGGATCGGGGTGCGCATGCGAACTGTGCCAGTGGAGCACTCGATGGAGCTCCGTGTGGGGCCACGCGGTGTGCGAGGGATGCGCCGCAATGGGTCCAGGGTCCGCATGCGAACGCGGCCACTGAAGCCTTCGGTGGAGCTCCCTGTGGGGCCACGAAATGCGTGATGGGTGCCATGCGGGTGCGCCCACTGGAACCTTCGGTGGAGCTCCCTATGGGGCCACACGTCACATATGAGGGGCATGCTGAAATGAGTTGGGGGGCGCATGCGACCGTCGCCACCTGGGTCTTGTGGAGCTCACTACGAGGCCACGCAAAGTACAAAGGGGCGTGCCGAAATGGTGGGCGGGGACGCATGCGAACGTCGCCACTGGGGGGCCTTAAGTCGAAAACAAGCTGGTAAGCTTAGGTATGTGTTACGCTTTAAGCGTTGCCATATCCCAGGCTTTGGCTCATATCGCATGAGCAAGAGTGCAAGACGAAGCATGGGATCTGGAGTAAAGGATAGGATGGGCATCGTCAATGGAAAAGGTATTTTCCGATCTCTGATGCAAGTCGTGCGCCTCAGTGAGGCACAGTCATATATTTGGCCGGGCCCGGCTTGAGCCAGGCACGGCAGCGGTACATGCTCGATTTATACCTCGCCTTTAACCTTCTCCGTTTAAAGTCGGAGGGGGAGGAGACGAGCAGGTACCGCACTTCTACATTATGCGGAAAAACAGTGCTAAGCAGCAGCGGCTGCCTACAAGGAAAGGGCGCGCGAGTAGCCTCGCTACCGGCGAGTTTCCTCGCTACTAAAGCGCACCTGCCCGCGGGTTTCCCCGCTGGCTCGGGAGGCAGGGCCGTCCTGAGACGACCTGCCCGCCCTATACGGCGTATGTTTCTTCAGCTCGTGCTTGAAGGATTGCTGGCCGGCCATTACTTGTAGGAGCAACGCGCGGTCAATACTACCTTTGGTATGACCATCGGCAGTCATATCCCGCGTGTCACACCATTGGACGCTTTCCACGATTCCGCGTTCCATCATCTGGCGGATCCAGCTGATGTGCCCAAGCAGAGTACATTCTGTGGGCTTCTTCAGATCTTTGCTAGACAAAGACTTGAAGACAGACTCGGCATCAATAGTCAGAGTGACTTTGATACATAGACCACCCATTTCCAATATGTTCTTTAACTGTGTGGGGGTCAATGGTCCCGAGTGTAGCTCGTGGAGCGTTACAATGGTCGGGTAGCAGTCTTCCAAGTTGTGGGCTGCTGCCAGTGTTTCCGCAGAGTAGCTCGAACGCACCTGCAGTCGATGAGACTTGCAGTATGCGTCCACCAGGTGCACGACGGGTTTCCCCGCTTGCGTGTGGCCACGCCTCAGCAGGTTAGCCCCGCGGATACCATAGCCTTTGACTTCGTCGTCTTCATCTCCGTTGAGACGACGATAGCCAGAATCGCTATGCAGGTCGACTTCTCCTGTTGGGGTCATAGCTTGATACACGATCTTCTTCGGACCTGCCTGTAGCTTTCTGGTAACCGCGTTTAGTCGTCGTACCTGGATGTTTGTCGGTTCCTGGATACGTTGTAGTGAGACAACATAGACCATCAGCCATACCTGCGTGATCAACGCATAGGCTAGAGCGCCACGAAGACTGACGAACATATCAGAAATCGTCTTTGTCGCTTTGCTCTCAGGATCAGCTCCTGTGAGTTCTGGATGTGTGATAGGACGAAGCTGTTTGATGTATTCGTCCTGATCGA